TCGTGTTACTCTCTACACTGCACTCAACCTGAGGGACTCCTACACTTTCAGTCTCTGAGGAGACATGAAAAACAGCGCATACAGCAGGAAAGGTATAAAGGAAAATATTAGCGGTTTTGAAACCGTGACATTTTCAAATCGAGATACCTTGAAACCGGTAATCGGCCCATGCCTATTCTGGGCATGTCATTGTGTTCATATATTTTTTTTTTTTGTAAACATCACTTGATCACTTTTTCTGTTGATTTGGATAGATTTTAATACACAAGCAATTCATGGGCTGCATTTACACTGGCACTGAGCCACTTCCAAATGTTGTTTTAAATCAGTTGCTTATCCATTATCTGGACATCCAACCTACATCTAAACACACTTATCTGATTCCCCACAGGTCTCCCAATGCGAGGGTGACATGTTTGCCCATAAAGATTGTGTTTTAATGCCGGTGTGCTGTTTGTGATCGCATTTTATTCGTTCAGTCAGATTTTGTGCTGCAAAGCATCCATGACAGCCGTACATGCTGGCAAATAATAACAGCCACTCGACGTGAATTGTATAAATAATTTTAATCGCATGGCCATTCAAAACCAGAGGGTCTACCATGTGCATATATAGTAAAGCGATAGCAGACAATCCTTTTGGGCGGGAATTAATTCAAACACCGATATCGGATACCAGTCGTGTCTAAAGTGAATGTAAACGGAAGGGTCAAAAGATCGGCTCTGTGCATTAAGACTTGCAGTGTAAATGCAGCCTTAGAGACATGTGATCGCGTTCTTACAGTGAGGAGCGAGTAAGGAGTTGTGTTAATCTGAGCGCATGTCTGCGTGTGGTGGACAGGAGATGAAGGACACGCGGCGCAGGCTGGAGACGCGTCTGGTGGAGGTGGACTCGGGCCGTCAGGTGGAGTATGAGTTCAAGCTGGCTGCGGCGCTGGCCGATATGAGACAGCAGCACGACGAGCAGGTCCAGGTCTACAAGGACGAGATGGAGCAGACCTACACGGCCAAGGTGAGCGTGCACATTCACACGTCTCTGAGTTTCCTCCAGTGCTTCAGTTCCTCTGAGACGTCTGTGTGTGTTTCAGCTGGAGAACGTGCGTCTGTCGTCGGAGATGAACAGCTCGTCGGCGAGTATGGCACGCGAGGAGCTGCGCGAGTCCTCGCTGAGAGTCGAGAGTCTGGCCGCTCAGCTCGCTAACCTGCAGAAACAGGTGCGTCGCTACACCACTGACGGCTTTCCTGCGCGACCTCTGACCCGCTTCCACACACTGGCCAGTTCCTCCTCTGCGTTCGCTCCTTACTGAGCCTGTTTGTCTTGAGCAGCTCTGAACTCGATTTCTGAAGTGTTTCAGTGTTTGATTTTAAATTCAATTCAATTCAAGTTTATTTGTATAGCACTTTTCACGATTTAAGATAAAAAATAGACGATAAAGAATTAACTTAACGGAGCTCAAACTCAAAACACACAACAGCAACAAACAGGAAGTGACGTAGTCACTTGTAAGCTGTGAAACTGAACAGGATTTAATTGATTCAGTTCATTATTAAAGGGGTCATATGATGCGATTTCAAGTTTTCCTTTCTCTTTGGAGTGTTACAAGCTCTTGGTGCATAAAGAAGATCTGTAAAGTTGCAAAGACTAAAGTCTCAAATCCAAAGAGATATTCTTTCTTAACAAAGGTGTATGTTACTTTGTAGAGCAATTTGCAACAGCTTCGAACACGGCTCAGCCAATCAGAATCAAGCACCGGAACTATCTGTTTTACAAAATGTATTATAACACATCCAGATGTTGTTCATGAACTGTACAGTAACACAAATTTGGTTTGGATCTAGGTTTGAATGAAATGACAGCAGTACAGATCTTCTGAAGCAGCATCTCTTCTCAACCGCACACCGTCGCTCTACAGTGATCTGAGCGTCACTGCCAGACTAAAGCCCTGTTTGGACAGGAGTGCTGTTACACGGGTGGATGGAGAAATTTACTTTTACCACAGCACGTCTGTAATATTAATGCGCAATTCACTTCAGCAAAACTACCAGAAGTGGGAGGGGTAGCACGATTTATGCACCGTCTTCATGTGCATGCCACATAGAATGATTTATTAATTAAATTCGGACAGGATTCTGTTGGTAATAGGCACTTACCTAAAGCTAACAGGTCTTGTGCCTCTAACAAGTGCTTTTGACTCTCTTTTGATCTGAATGGTATTAGTTGTCATATGTGGAAAACACTTGAGGTTTGCCCCAGACATGTCCTCCTGCCTAGAACACAACTGCGTGCTGCTTCAAGCGCCTCCATACCTGGAAAACCACAGAAGACTGCTTTTAAACAGGAAATGACCGAATTATGCACATTTACAGCTGGTGTGTGCACACAGGATTACCTGACATAGACTGTAATGATTACAGAGATGGCACATTCAGACGAGACGAATATCACTGAGAAGCTTGTGGTAGTGATGACTTTACACCTCAATGTTAAACTAATCCTGTCCGCATAGATCTTTAATAGATGCCCATCTGCAGTGCTTGGGAGTAAACAACAGTACTTTTACGATAAAGTGAAAATGGAAAATAAAGTAAAGTTTTAGTAAATTTGTGTTTAGCCATTTATTAATATGTCCATATAGTTTTTTTTATTTTATTAGTTTAGTTATTTTAGTAAACTAAATTTTAACGAGAAATGTTTATTTTTTTATGGTTTTCATTTTAGGTTTTTATTTATTTTAATTTTCATTAGGCGTCGATACTTTTTGTATAAAGTTATATTGATGTCATGACTTGTACAATATATTTAGTCTTTACCCACATCTCATACTTTTGTGCTGAAATTGACTGAATTTTGTTGATAAACATGAATATGTACACCTATTGAGCAGCAGTCATTTCATAATGTAAAACTGTTCACTTTTTTCATCTAAAAATTAAAGTTTATGCGAGTAAAATGAATTTTTGCTTGAAAATTAAGAGTAATATTTGTTTTAAATTATGCAGGTTTCATAAATTTAAACTGTTTTTGAGCAATAATGAGTTATAAATTCAAAGCAAATCAGTCAGGAAAGAAGTGTGTGTGTGTGTGTGTGTGGGTTCATGTGAAATTTAAACTGATCAGAATTGAAATGTTGAAAAAGGGTTAAATGCAGTAATAACATTTAAAACTTTTACTCATTAATAAGAAGCTGCTGATCGCATACACTATGGTTTTAGATGAAAAATATTAAAGGGCACCGATTATGCAAAATCCATTTTTACATGGTGTTTGGACATAAATGTGTTAGCAGTGTGTGAACACAACCACCCTACAATGATAAAAATCGCCGCGTGGCTCGGTCCATTGATTGTTTAGGCCCCGCCCACAGCGGCTGATTGACAGCCCTGCATTGCTGTAGTTTCCGCCCTGCCCTTTGTGTGTACACATTAAGTATTTTTAACTGATCAGCTTGTGAGATTAGTTCACGCTGTTCGTAGCGCGAGATTTGTTCGGTCGCGCGGCTCGGTCCATTGATCCGTGCCAATGACAGATCAGCGCGGCGCGAGCTCTGTAACGTTACGCTGTTTCGTCTCACTTTCAGTGCTTTTTGCTTCCCATATGTATGGCTAAACACCGGTTCTCTCGCCCTCAGTTATGTTGCTTCTACCGGTGTTGTGCCGAATTCTGCACCCCTGCCAGATTATGCATCCGCTGTTAATTGCTGTAGATATGCAATGCAGAGAGATGTATACGCAACGCCCTCTTCTGGAGATGGGGCGGGAATATGCAGCTCATTTGCATTTAAAGCCATACACTCCAAAACAGCTTTTTAAATTTTTTTTTATATATATATAGACACACCCCAAAAATTTTTTTCCAGCTGTTATAATAAATGATCTGTTGGGTATTTTGGGCTGAAACTTCACAGACACATTCTGGGGACACCCAAGACCAATATTACATCTTGTAAAAAGGGGCATAATAGGTGCCCTTTAATGCAACAGACTCTAAACTTATTTCAAATACATTGCAGTCTTTGATTTGATAATCACACTCAGCTTTAACATGATTTCAGTGTGTAGTGTGCTGTCTGGTTAGGGACTGGCGGTTTAACGGCTGCTCTGTCTCTGTCAGGCTGAAGCTGTCTCCCAGCCCCTCGGCTCGTGTGACGGTGTCCCGGGCCTCCTCCAGCCGCAGCGTTCGCACCGCGCGAGGGAAGAGGAAGCGTGTGGATGTGGAGGAGTCCGAGGCCAGCAGCAGCGTCAGCATCGCTCACTCCGCGTCTGCCACTGGAAACGTCTGCATCGATGAGCTGGACGTGGACGGGAACTTCATCCGCTTGCACAACAGCTCTGAGCAGGTGCGTCTGTCTGACACACTAACTCATTACAGCACTCAGAACATGCCTTCATCAACAGTGCGTAGAAAAGTTTCTATATTTTGTTCTACGAATGAAATTTAGAATGTGTGCAAGTACAAAAAATCCGTATTTATCAAACGTGTGCATGCGGTTCTTGCGCACACCAGTAAGTAATCATTGTTGATAAATCCCGCATGTTCTTAAGCACCGTGCTCGTTCACATTCATGGTCATTTGCATTCAGAAACGTCTCCAATGAACCATATGTGGTGACAACACCTCCCTTTATCATGTGAATGTATGTGTCCTCACCGAAGTCATGGCAAAGAAAGCAGTACCGACTGAAGCCATGCTGTGCTCTCACTAAACATCAGTGCACTTTGAAAACGCATTCTCTGCGCAGCGCATGGTTTGCCAAATCTTCCAGCAAAGCGAGATCAGGGGTTTTCAAAGCTGACCCGAGTCCCCAGCACCCGTCTGCCTCATTACACATGGCCAGCTCAGGTCATGTTCTCTGCTGATGAGGTGAATCAGGTGTGTTTGATGAGAGTACAAGATGTGCGGTGCTGAAGGGCCTCCAGGTTTGGAATCCCCTGATCTAAACTGGTGTGGGACATGCAGTCATACAGGTACACAGAAATATTCAGGAGCACAGAATCTGCTTCAGCTTTCGCTACTGGAACTGCATTATATTTCTCCACCGTGAGGTGATAACTTTGCCGTTTAAGTATTTAAACTCGCAGCTTCAATATTAGATGCAACAATAATAGAAGCAATGGATGCAATGTTAATCTTATCACATTACATACTCTAGATCTAGAACATCTGTGTCTGATTTAATGATCAAATCCATTTTAATGATCAACGCATTACATGAGAACTTTTCCACAAATAATTTAACTTCCTACAACAAGACTACATGTGCATTTAAAACGGTGTGGTGTTTGCGAAAAAAAACTCTCAAGGCAGAGTGATCTCAAAAGCTTTGCAAGGGGAAATGAATAAGGTGTAAAGGACCTAAAATTGAACCTTGGGGGACACCAGTATGAACAGTGACAACCTCAAACCTGTAACCACCAATGGAAATAACCTGGCTACGATCAGAAAGAGCTAAACCAATGTAAGGCTGTCCCAGAAACACCAAAGAACATTTCAAGATGGGTGAGTAAAAACAATGATCAAGAGACCATCAACAAATCACTGGTGATATTGTCCATGGCTGCTTCTGACCTAATGTTCAAGAATGGGTGCTTTAGCTGATTTAATAAAGTGGATTCAGCAAGCAGCAAAACTCGTGCACTTAAATATCAGTCACTGATGTTTCGGTTCAGATGCCGTAAACTGCAGCCAGTCACTGCGCTTTGACACGGCTAATGCGTCGCGTGGTGTTGATTGACAAAGCTGCCGTTTTTTTTTCTGTTTCTATTTTATTTATCATTCTGTTGTGTTGTAGCAATTAATTGAAGGAAACTCCATTTTCTGAATAATTTTTCAGGATCAACCCATGGCAGGATTTCAGCTGACCAGAACTATCGGTGATGTTTCTGCTACGTATAAATTTACTGCCAAATACGTCCTGAAGGCTGGGCAGAAAGTAACGGTACATACTGACACTTGATTATGAATAAAACACTGTCACCTGACAGTCACCTGTTGTTTGTGTTGAGTGAACGCTGTTGATTTCTGTCAGATCTGGGCGTCTAATGCAGGCGTGAGCTCCAACCCTCCTACGGACCTGATCTGGAAGAGCCAGAGCTCATGGGGGAGCGGCAAGAACATTAAAGTGCTTCTGCTGAGCCCAGGAGGAGAGGTGAGACGGAGCCCAGCTTTGCTTCGCATGTTTATCATCCCTCTTATTATAGAGACGCTTGTCTTCACGTGGCCAGTAGAGGGCAGCATTGGCTCTGCTCTGAAGTGTCCCTGTCCCTACAGGAAGTAGCTGTGAGGAGCACAGTATTCAAGACTGCAGTGGAGGAGGAGGAACAGGAAGCTGAAGTCATTGAGGAGCGTTTCTTTCACCAGCAGGTCTGATGTCAAAGCACACATCTGCTTTGTGTGTGTGTGTGTGTGTGTGTGTGAGTCTGTCTGTCTGTCTGAGTGTGT